TCTTCTTCATTGGGGAACTAGATAAGGAAAAAAAGAGTGAGACAGACCTAGCAAATTCCACCTCTAGGTACATACCCAAGGGAAATAAAAATCTTATGTCCACAAAGAAGCTTGCACACAAATGCTTCCAGGACCATTATTCACTAAAACCAAAGGCTGAACAACCCAACTACCCAAGGGGTGAATGGATAAATAAACTGTGGTATATCCATGCAAGAGAGTATCATTCAGCCACAGAAGGAAACAAAGAGCTGTGCTATAGCTAGGAACCTTGAAAACATCATGCGAAGTGAAAGATGTCAAAAACAAAAGGCACACATTGTATGATTTCTTTTATATGAAATATCCAAAACAGGCAAAGCCACAGAGACAGAAAACAGATTAGTGATTCCTAGGAGATGGGGAGAGGAGGCAACAGGGAGTGATTATGTAACGGGTACAGAGTGTTTTGCCGGGATGATGAAGGTCTGAAACCAGAGAGTGGTAGTTGCACAATGTTGTAAATGTAGTAAGTGTCCCTGAACTGTACATTTAAAACTGGCTAATTGTATGTTATGTGAAATTCACCTCAATTTAAAAAAGAGACCTACAAATAGCTTCTATTGCTAATGAAATAACTCTTCATTTTGTAATACTGTCTGTATTCAAGCTACAGAGGAACGTCCCTCCAACTATGACAAATAAAACCGATTCTATGTTCCTAGTTTCAACTTGTTTGGCATTTTCAGAAATGGTCAGGGTGATGGGGAATGGTGGCAGTGGAAACAAAGGGCCTTCCCCAACTATGTACTACCCTGACCTTACAATTTTGACTTTTCAAAGCTGACAAGTTATACTATCAATTTTTGAGGGGCGCCTGGGGGACTCAGTCGGTTGAGTGTCCGATTCTTGATTTCAGCTCAGGTCACGATCTCACAGTTGGTGAGTTTGAGCCCCACATCTGGCTCTGCACTTTCAGCCTGGGATTCTCTCTCCCTCTCTCTCTGCCCCTCCCCTGCTCGCACACGTGCTCTCTCTCTCAAAATAAATGAACATTAAAAAAAAAAGGAATTTAAAAAAAAAAAACTATCAATTTTTTTCCTGGTTCAAGACTTTTGTGGCTTTTTCCAGCCTCTACTGGGTCTAATCCATTTAGTAAACACAGATAAAGAGAAGCCCCAGAGTGAGCAGGTTGAAGGCCTGGAGATCAAGCCTACACTTTGGCTTCCTTCTTTCTGTTGGCTACAGACAGACAGACGTACCTGTGGGGAAAGCTTGAACATGGGAGCACAAACGATGAGCGGGGTGGAATGGTGTTTTGCTGCCAGTGCTAGAGTGTGAGTTCCTGTCACGGCTCTCAGGGCACCATTGGCCAGGATGGTCTTTGTGCCAATGATCACCTTTGGAACAGGAAGCAAAATGTGAGTCATCCTAGAGATACAACCTTAAATAGGCCATTGGGCACAATAGGCTGAATGCCCAGGCCTCCCTCTTGACATCGTGAGGGTCACACAGCCGTAAAGGAAAAGGGATTCTAGACTAAGGACCATGAGTTCTAGCTCAAAAGTGGCTTCCCAAAGAATGAATATAGTCCGAGACCGGAAGCTGTACCACCTCCTGCTCTTAGCCCTGTCTTCTAGGATCTCTATGTCACAGCTCCTGAGAAGCCAGAAGCCTTTCTATTCATCATCCACCACTGCCAAGCTCTCTGCTCAGAAAGCAGGGACCCTCTACCCAATCCCTAGCAGCTGCCACGCTTAGCTTAGCCCTATTTCATTCTCTTCAATGCTTTCACCAAAAAGAAACTACTCTGAGGTGCCCGGCTGGCTCAGTTGTAGAGCATGTAGATCATGACTCTTGATCTTGGGGTTGTGAGTTCGAGCCCCAAACTGGGTGTAGAGACTGCTTTAAAAAATAAAATCTTTTGGGACGCCTGGGTGGTTCAGTCGGTTGAGCGTCCGACTTCAGTTCAGGTCATAATCTCACAGTCCATGAGTTCAAGCCCTGCATTGGGCTCTGTGCTGACAGCTCAGAGCCTGGAGCCTGCTTTAGATTCTGTGTCTCCCTCTCTCTCTCTCTGACCCACCCCTGCTCATGCTCTGTCTCTGTCTCAAAAATAAATAAAAACATTAAAAAAAATTAAAATAAATAAAATCTTTAAAACAAACAAACACAACAAAAAAAAGCTACTCTAAGTGAGGAACAATGATACAGATAGAAGAAAAAGAAATTCAGTTAATATATTAAAAAGGCCCAAATATGTACTTTCAAAAGGTGTTAGAAACTTTCTTTCCTCATAGATATTATAGGAGGGAGGGGGGAAAAAAATCAGTATTTTAGAAGTACAGTCTTCATGAATTTAATATAAGTCCAAATATACCCACCTTGTTGACTCTTGACATAACAGCAAAAATGGCGGCATCAGTCATGACAGTTGTCTCAATACCTGCTTTGGACAAATTGACTGCCATTTCGTGACCCTGCAATAGGACAGAAAGGCTGACATTATGAGAGAGAGTGAGAGAGAGTGGGAGGCATCTCCAATGGAACTGGATCTGGAGAATTCTGTGATACTGAGCACAGCCGACACACAACTGCCTCCAGATAACTCCTTTTTCTGCCCGTGGTCGGTATTCTCTGGTACATTGCAGGGAAGCCCAGGAGAAGCTAATAAATGTTGAATTCTCCACAGGAGCATTAAAGCAGCCACAAAACTGGAAATACTGCTCGCGTGTATAATTGGGCAGAGCTGACAGGATAGGTCCTGGCTCGTTCCTTTACAACATCCTGCATCCTTACCTAGTTCCTTCTGAAAGACCTATTATTCACGTGGGGATGGAGTGCGGTCAGGCCAAGCATCAGTCATCCCCAAGGTAATTTACCCTATTTTGATTCCCAAAAGAACCAATATATTTCTTTTCTTGAACCCAGCATTTCACCTAAGCCTCCCAAACCAATGTTGAAGAGTGTTGACAGGATGAACAACTTGAAAATTCCCTTAATGTTTTATTTTACTTTATCTTCTCAACGTCTTGCTTATCAATTCAAAGATAGCATGGAGCCCATCTATCACTTCTTGATTCCCTCCTCAGTTTTCATTTTTCTTGGCAACTCCAGAAGCCCCCCCCTACCTGACAGAAAGGAGCACATTCTGCCACAATGACATGGAATTTCCTCTTTCGGGCCGCCTCTTTGAGGAAGGCTTCTACTGTTCGGGAGAAGCCAATGGTCATGATCACCTCATTGGAGTGGATGTGCTCCAGAGCCTGGGCTGCAATGTTCTCTGTTGTCCCTTCTGCAAGAACAGTCAGTTTTGCAAGGAAAATATGAAACCACCGTGCTACAACATGAAAGAGACAGGTGCCCACCTAGTGGACCCTGGTAACACAGGGTAAATGGACTTAATATGAAGGTCACTTCTTCTTCAAAGCCCCATTCCTCTGGGATCTTCTACCTCCTAAGTTCTCAGTCTACCCTCTTTCCCAGTAGAACCCCCAACTCACCCACTTAACCCCCCAACCCTGCCCGGCCACAACACCAGCTCCTTACAATTGATTTTGAAGACACTGAATTCAGGCAAAAAAAAAAAATGGTCCAATTGGGGAAATCATAAAATGCTGAGGATGGGGTAAACAGTTTTCCCCCTAAAGGGACTCCTCCTCCAAAAGGTGGCCACAACACCTCCACCTGAGGAGGCCACAGAAGAAAAAAGGGGAGGAATTTGGAAGCAGCAGCTCCAGATACACAGACCCAGCTTCTTCCTTCCTTGGGGAATTCTGATTGTAATGAATATCTGCAGATCTCCCAGGTCACAAAGACAAGGGGAATGGAGGTGGCGCGTGTGTGCATAAAAATTCAAGAAGTTTAGTGAAGTCTACCACCTGTGGTTTTAGGGAGTTCATCTTTAAAACGAAAATAAAGCTCTGTCCTAACAGCTTCTGCAGCAATCTATAAAGGGCTGGTCTGTAAAGAAATGTATCGAGGGTTATCTTACTCCTGCTCCAAACCTTCCTCTTAGTCAGGATGGAGGACAAAGCTGAGAACAGCATAACTGGCGATCTCCCATCTCTGCTGATGAACAACTTTCAGGGTCTTCTCTTCCTTCATCTGCCTGTAACTTGTCCTGACACCCGGGATCAGGACTCTTACCCAGTTCCACAAGCAGCTCACTAATTGCCTCGATGATGTTGGACTGGAGTTGGGCGTAATGGAAGCTGAAATCCTCGCTCAGGCCTTCGGATGTCAAGAGTTTGTGCAAGGACTCCTGCTGATCGCTCTCATCGCTGCGTCCATGGAGTCTACGGAGGCAACAAGACGCAAAGAGGGAGGTGGGCTGAGGTGTACTCTTTGAAGCAACAGGGCCTGCTCACCACTAAAGGCTCCAAGCAAAGGGCGGAGCTCGTGCAAAAAGGCCCACGTCCTGACCTGCCATACTCCTCCCGGATGATCCTGAGCACTCTCCGCACCATGTTGCCCACCGTGGTCTCTGAGGGCTGCGCGGCTGTCATCCTCTGGCCCTCTCGGCGAATCAGTTCCATCAGCTCCCCTGCAGTCCGAGGAACAGAGCGTGAGAGGGCACGAGCACGATGAGACCTGGGCGACTTTCCGCCTGGGGATCGGGAACGGATAGTGGCGAGGGACGCGACAGAATAGACCTGCCTCACCTGCATTGCTCCAGCGGTGGTCCGTAATGATCCGGCGCAGCAGCCCCAGGGTCTCCCGAGCCATGTCCTCGGAGCTGCGCCGCCCGCCGCCCCGCTTCAGGGCCTCCACGAAACTCTCGATGCTCTCGTACAACTCCGAGCCATTGGCTGCGGCTCCCGGCATCTCGAAAAGAGCCGCCTAGCCGGCGAAATCCGCACCTGTACAACCTCGATCGTTGCACTTCCGGGGCGGGTGAAGTCGGCTTCCGCTCCGCGAGGAAAACTCGGGCTTCACGGTCCGCAGGCCACGCCCCTCCGTGCCACAGCCCACCCCTTCCATCTGCCTGAACCAATCAGAGACTAGGAACTCGAGTTGCTCATTTACGGCGGAGCGTCCGCGAGCCTCCGAGGCTGGAGGAACGGAAGTGGCCGTTCGCAGCTCCTACGAAGTTGGACAGAGGTGAGCTGGGAGGCCCCGCGAGGGTGGCTAGTTCTGTTGCTATGGAAACAGCTGGTCTCGGCGCTCCCACTCCCCCCAACGACCCGAGGCTGTGCTGTGAAAGTTGCCGCCCGCCCTCCCTCTTGATCCCTAAGCTCCAGTGACCACCAGCTCTTCTGACTCGCGCTGAGAGTGCGCGTCCGGGACCCGCTACACCTAGGGCAGACGCTCTATTATAATGCTGTTACACTGCATAAAACTGGTTCGTTTGCACCTGTGTCTAATAGATTCAGCTCCCTGAGAGCAGGGACCATACCTTTTTTACCTTTGCATTCCCATCGCCTCACACACTTATTGTGAGGCAGGGATCAGGGATGAAGAGACGAATACTCACCAGTAAGGAGGTTCAAAGTGGGAGCTTTATATGGGAGCAAAGATGATGTCCTTCCAGATAGGCTAGAGAGTATAACATAATACCAAGAGCTATTATTGACTTCAAGTTTACTATGTGTTGGGCACTGTGTGTGAATTATCTACTGCACTCTGTGAGGTAGATCCTCTTATCCGCATTTTACAGGATAGAAACCGGCCACAAAATTCAAGCAGTTGGTAAGGGGACGCATTCGTGTTCAAATCTACCGACTATCTGAATCTAAAGTCTGTGTGTCATGAGAATCTCTGTTTCCTTAAGTTAAGTTCTTAGGATCTCTGGGCAAACTCATTTTCTTAAGACATTTGTTACATTTGACATATTGCCATCCAAAAAGATACATTAATACCAAAATCAGACAAAGAGAGTACAAGAAAACTACAGACCAGTATCCCTCACAAACACAGATGCAAGATCTGTAACAAAATATTAACATCAAATCCAGCAATGAATAAAAAGATTAATAATTACCAAATAGAATTTAAACCCGGGATGCAAAGCTCTTTTAATGTTTGAAAATTAATCATTATTTAACAACCATATTAACAATATAAAAAGTGAAACCACATGATCAGATCTATTGATGCAAGAAGCATTTGACAAAATTCAACAGCCATTGAATTAAAAAAAAAAAAAAACTCTCAGAGAACTAGGATTAGAAGGGAACTTCTTCAACTTGCTAAAGAATATCCACAAGAGCCTGCACTTAACATCATACTTTAAGGTGAAAGACTGCTTTCTTTCTAAGATCAGAAACAAGGCAAGGATGTCCACTCTCACAACTCCTATTTAATATTATAGTCAAAGTTCTAGGCAGTGCAATAAGGTAAGAGAAAGAAAGTTTAATAACATACAGACTAGAAAGAGAGAAAACTGCTCCTATTCACAGAAGACATCATTGTCCACACAGAAAATCCAAATAATCAACAATGACCAAAAAAACCCAAGAGTCAATAAGTGAATTTAGCAAGGATGTAAGGTCAACACGCAAAAATGAATCTTGTTTCTATATACTAGCAATGAATAATTAGAAACCAAAATTGAAACACCATAACTCCCAAAAGCCATAATATATTTGTCAATTTTATTTGTGTTAAGTTAAAAAAAAATTTTTTAATGTTTATTTATTTTTGAGACAGAGAGAGACAGAGCATGAACAGGGGAGGGGCAGAGAGAGAGGGAGACACAGAATCTGAAACGGGCTCCAGGCTCTGAGCTGTCAGCACAGAGCCTGACATGGGGCTTGAACTCACGGACCGCAAGATCATGACCTGAGCCAAAGTCGGACGCTTAACTGACTGAGCCACCCAGGCACCCCTATTTGTGTTAAGTTTAAACTGTCCTAAAAATTGTACCAATTTACATGCTTGTTATCACTTACCATGATATCATTTATCATGATGTGGCCAATTTTGGATATTGTCGTTCTTTATTTTTCCAGGCATCAAGCCATTAAAAAAAAAAGGCATGTACTATTGTATACATACAAAAGAATATATGTTGCGTGTTATATATATGTGTGTGTGTATATGTATGTATATATGAAACTACCATGCTGCAACACAGACATGATAAAGCATGTCTAAATATATATATATATGCAATTATGAAGCATGACAAAATGAACATGCATGAACTCATCTCCCAAATTAAAAACTAAAATTCTTCTTTTTTTTAGTTTTTTTTAAATGTTTTTATTTATTTCTGAGACAGAGAGAGACAGAGCATGAGCAGGGGAGGGGCAAAGAGAGGGGGAGACACAGAATCCAAAGCAGGCTCCAGGCTCCGAGCTGTCAGCACAGAGCCGGACGCGGGGCTCAAACTCACGGAGTGTGAGATCATGACCTGAGCTGAAGTCAGACACTTAACCGACTGAGCTACCCAGGCGCCCCCAAAACTAAAATTCTTAAATATAAGTAGAATGGTGGTTTTCAGGGGTGGGATGGGGGCATAAGTTATTATTTAATGGGTACAGAATTTTGGTTTTACAACAGGAAAACAGTTCTAGAGATGGATGGTGGAGGATGGATGTACATTAATGCCACAGAGATGCACACTTAAAGGACTTAGGTAAATTTTATGTTTCCTGTATTTTAAGCACAATTTTAAAAAGTATGTGACATATATTTTTTAAAAATCCTCAAACACTGCCTATACCATCTCGACAATGTGTGTACTCTTACCCCGTTTCTCTGTTTTCTCCCATATCCAAGGATAACCACTGAATTTTGACTGGTATTGCTTTGTTTTCTTAAAAAAATGTATATTTATAATCCCTAAACAACATATTGTTTAGCTCAACCTGATTTTAACTTTTTTTGCAGATGACATTATAATGTAATTTTCTACAACTTGCTCTTTTCACTTGATAGGACATTCCTAAAATGGATGTAGTTACGTGTATCTGCAGTTCTTTCATTAGCAACGCTGCCTAGTATCCCATCATGTGACCATACCATAATCTATGTATTCATTTTCTTTCAACAGATATTTGGGATGTTTCCAGTCTTTTTTAGGGGAGTGAGAGACTATAAACTATAAATATTCTTGTGTATGTTTTGGCCTGCAAGTGGAACAGCTAGAGCATAGACTGTGTGAATATTCAACTTTACAAATAGCGCTAGTCTTCCAAAGTGGTTAAATCAATGAATGCTCAGGACGCCTGGGTGGCTCAGTTGGTAGAGCATGCAACTCTTGATCTTGGGGTTGTACATTCGAGCCCCACGTTGGGTGTAGAGATTACTAAAAAATAAAAGCTTAAAAGACAAAATCTTCAGGGCGCCTGGGTGGCTCAGTCGGTTGAGCGACCCACTTCAGCTCAGGTCATGATCTCATGGTTTGTGAGTTCGAGCCCCGCCTCGGGCTCAGTGCTGACAGCTCAGAGCCTGGAGCCTGTTTCAGATTCTGTGTCTCCCTCTCTGTCTGCCCCTCCCCAACTCATGCTCTGTCTGTCTCTCGCTGTCTCAGAAATAAATAAACATTAAAAAAATTTTTTTAATAAAAAAAAAATCAATGAATGCTCTCTCCAGTAGGACTTAAAGAGTTCCAACTGATCTACCTTATTAGCAACACTTGGTACTACCAGTTATTTTATTTGGGGAGAATCAGGTGGATATAAAAGGATGCATCATTATGATCTTAATTTGTTTTCCTGATTACCAATGAGGTTGTTCATTTTTTCATATGTTTCTTGGCCGTGTATTTTTCTTTCCCCTTCGTGAAATACCTGTTTGTGTCTCTTGCCTACTTTCTTTTTTTTTCTTTTTTTTAATTTTTTTTTAACGTTTTTATTTATTTTTGAGACAGAGAGAGACAGAGCATGAATGGGGGAGGGGAAGAGAAAGAAGGAGACACAGAATCGGAAGCAGGCTCCAGGCTCTGAGCCATCAGCCCAGAGCCCGACGCGGGGCTCGAACTCACAGACCGTGAGATCGTGACCTGAGCCGAAGTCGGATGCTTAACCGACTGAGCCACCCAGGCGCCCCTCTTGCCTACTTTCTTAAAAATCTTTTTAAAATGGACTTGTAGGAGTTTCTTATATATTTTGAATACTAATCTTTTTCAGTTATTTGTTTTATAAATATCTTCTCTCAGTTCATGGCTTGTTGTTTCACTCACTTTGTGATGTCTTTCAACAGAGTTCTCAATTTTAAGTATGGTCAAATGCATCAACCTTGTCTTCAGTAGTTAATGCTTCTCATATTTTATTTTAAAACTCCTTCCCTGGGGTGCCTGGGTGGCTCAGTCGCTTAAGCATTCAACTCTTGATTTTGGCTCAGGTCATGATCTCATGGTTTGTGAGATCAAGCCCCGTGTTGGGCTCTGTGCTGACAGTGCAGAGCCTGCTTGGGATTCCCCGCCCCCCCCCTCCCCTACTTGCTTGCTCTCTCTCTCAAAAAAACAAAACAAAACAAAAACCCTTCCCTGATTTAAAGGCTTGAAGATGATCTGTTACTTTTTTTCTTCTACATAAGTTAAAATTTTAGATTTACATGTAAGTTTTGGGAGTGCCTAGGTGGCTTAGACAGATGAGGGTCTGACTTTTGATTTTGGCTCAGGTCGTGATCTCAAAGTTCATGAGATAGAGCCCCTCGTCAGGCTCTTCACTGACAGCACAGACCCTGCTTGGGATTCTGTCTCTCTCCCTCTCTCTCTGCCTCTCTCTCAAAATAAATAAATATTTAAAAAAAGGATTTACACATAAGTTTTCTATGTAAGGAGTAAGGTGGGAAACCAATTTTATTTTCTTTTTCCATTCTTTTTCCCTTGATTTTCAATGCTACCACTCTAATATATCAAGTATCTATAATGTGTGAGTCTGTTTGAGGGCTTTGTATTTTGTTCCATTGCTAAATTTGCATATCCCTGACCTAATATCACATTTTTGTCTTATTTTACAAAAAGTACTGGGGTGCCTGGGTGGCTCAGTCGGTTAAGCGTCCGACTTCGGCTCAGGTCATGATCTCACGGTCTGTGAGTTCGAGCCCCGCGTCGGGCTCTGTGCTGACAGCTCAGAGCCTGGAGCCCGTTTCAGATTCTGTGTCTCCCTCTCTCTCTGCCCCTCCCCTGTTCATGCTCTGTCTCTCTCTGTCTCTCTCTGTCTCAAAAATAAATAAACATTAAAAAAAAATTGTAAAAAAAAAAAAAAAAAAGTCTTGCTCTCTGGTAAGAAAACTTCCCTTGCAATATTTCTTTCTTTAAAAGGTTCTTAGGGGCGCCTGGGTGGCGCAGTCGGTTAAGCGTCCGACTTCAGCCAGGTCACGATCTCGCGGTCCGTGAGTTCGAGCCCCGCGTCAGGCTCTGGGCTGATGGCTCGGAGCCTGGAGCCTGTTTCCGATTCTGTGTCTCCCTCTCTCTCTGCCCCTCCCCCGTTCATGCTCTGTCTCTCTCTGTCCCAAAAATAAATAAACGTTGAAAAAAAAAAAATAAAAGGTTCTTAACTAGTTTTAGGTCTTTGTTCTTTCATATATATTTTAGAAACAATTTGTCTATTCCCCCCCCCCCCAAAAAAAGCAACCTCTAAAGATTTTGCATGGAATTACTTTGAATCTCTAAATTAATTTGAGGAGAATTGGCATCTTTAAGATACTGAGTCTTCCTATCTATGGATATGGTATATATCTTCATTTATTTAGGTCTTCTTTAATGTTGTTTAGTAAAATTTTATAATTTTCTCCATATATGACTTTCACATCTTATGTAAGATTATTCCTAGGTACATTGAATTTTTACTGTTGTAGATGATTATCATTCTTTTTCATCATTGTCAAGTGGATCGAGAAAATACAAAACTCCTTTTAGTTTGCATTTCTTTGCTCATTAATATAGATGAACATTTTTTTCATGTTTCAATGCATATGATTTGCCCATTTTTCTAATATGATACATGACAGACATTCTGGTTGTCTACCTGACATCCATTTCTTTCTTCTTCTTTGTTAAAAGGCCTGATTTTCTTTGGTTTCTACCCACGGGGAAAGTGGTTTTAGCTTATGAGTAAATCCTGATTGGCCTAAGCCAATCATGGCAATTCCATTCTTTTTCTTTCTTTCTTTCTTTCCTTCTTTCTTTCTTTCTTTCTTTCTTTCTTTCTTTCTTTCTTTCTCTCTCTCTCTCTTTCTTTCTTTCTTTCTTTCTTTCTTTCTTTCTTTCTTTCTTTCTTTCTTTCTTTCTTTCTTTCTTTCTTCTATAGGTTGGTGCTGGGTAACCCATTTTCTAGCCAGCAGAATATGAGGGAGATCTGTTTGGGACTCCCTGGAAAGGTTTCTTTGTTTTTAAGTAATGGAGAAGACTCCTTAGTCTCTTTAGTCTCTGATTGTCTGAAATATGATGCCTAGAATTACTGCAGCTATCTTAAATGACCATGAAGTCTCAAGAATGAGGATTAAGTTAACATGCCAAGATGTCAGAACAGAAGAACAGGAAGAACCTAAGGTCTTGAAAATATCAACACTTAATGGATATTTTACATATATAAACTCTTGTCATCCTTTCAGCAGTCCTATGAGATAAATACTACTAATATAACCATTTTCAAAACAGGAATCTGAGGCATAACTAGGATAAGTAACTTGCTTAGTGTCACACACCCAGTAAGTGGAAGAGTTGAGATGTTAATCCAACAGTATAGCTTCAGTGCTTATCCTGTTAGTCTATGTACTATGGTGCCTTTTATTAAAGTTGTTGTGTGAAATTGACAAATCCAGAAGTTGCCCTAACTTTAGACTTCTTATTATATGAAATGGTACATTTCTCTATAAAATTTTGAATGGAGTTTTCTGTCACTTACAGCCCAAAGCATCTTGAGATTGGGTATTTAATCTTTTTCTGGTTAATTTGTAAGGTGTGTATATATATTAAAGATTCCAATCATTTGTAATTTGTGTTGCAATATTAGTAGTTTTAAAAACTTTGCCCAATTCTCACATATTTCTGTGGGATTTTATTTTATTTTATTTATTCTTTTATTTTTTTTAACGTTTATTTATTTTTGAGACAGAGAGAGACAGAGCATGAATGAGAGGGGGTCAGAGAGAGAGAGGGAGACACAGAATCTGAAACAGGCTCCAGGCTCCGTGTTGTCAGCACAGAGCCTGACGCGGGGCTCGAACTCATGGACTGCGAGATCGTGACCTGAGCCAAAGTCGGACGCTTAACCGACTGAGCCACCCAGGCGCCCCTATTTCTGTGGGATTTTAAATTGAAACAGCTTTCAGTAGGACAATTTGGGAAAAAAAAACATAGCAAAAGACTTTAAAATGTTCATTCATGCTTTTTAAATTGGTATGTTTAAGTCTAGAAATTTATCGTAGGGAGGTAATCAGAAATAGGCCCAAAAATTTATCCACAATAACACTTTTTACTTTATTATTTATAACATAAAATCAGAAATATTCCTAAATATTCAAAATTTAAAAATTGGTTTGGAAATTATGTATTGCCTTACATGTTTTAGAAGAATATTTAATGACATAAGAAATACTTAATGATAAGAATTATTGACAGCATATTGTTAAGTTTAAAAAGTAGGGTTCCTACAGTCACTCTGGAAGATAGTTTGGCAATTCCTT